CAATTACAGATTCATCAGGCATGGGGTTAACAGATTTCTACATTTTGGGTCGTTTAGAAGTTGGTGATATTTCTCTTTTACCAGAGATATTGGTCATAATTTAGAATTGAGTGTATGGTTGTCTGATTAAAACATACATATGATAGTATAACGTGTCGTGTATTAACTGGGTTAACGCTAATATCAGTGGAGGTAGGGAAAGATTTTATCAATGAGATGTTCAATTATTGAGTGTAAGAACCACTTTCAATCAGTCGATACAGTTAAACTATTGTATTCGGAATTTAATAACGTTATAAACTGTTGTAAGCTTAACTATATGTAAGAAGCTGTAAATTTATCGTCTGACAAATCTCAACAAGAAGATATTTGCACATTGCCTCATCAATTCTTGTTATATGCAGACATGGATTTATCTTGCACTGGTTGTCAACCAGCAGTGGTTTGTCTCAATGCAAATGCCAACTATCGCATTGATTAAATAATAACCTGAGCATTGTGTCTGACAAGAAAATTTGTCAGCCCGGTTTTAAGATCGATTATTTTGCATATTGAGTGAATCGAGCATGATTTCGAAAACACTACAGCATTAGTGACTCCACCAGAGGCCCTTCTAGGTCTGCTGACGGTCCTAGATCCGGATAAAGAAGGGGGTCAGACATTTAGTTAACAAACCCATACCGTACAAAACCATTTCACCGAAAATCGCTAACCGAAAAAAATTATTCAAACCATTACGAATAGTTTTGAAATCCCATAGTAAAAGCCAAATCATTCAGAAAGTCAAAAGGCCGATTACTTTTCTGATAACCAGAGCTACCATTAACTTGAGGGCACTTGGAGGAACTCTTGAATAGACCAGCTCCACTGAACACTCCGGACATCAAAGTTGCACCTACAGATCTGCTAATTGACGTTGAGTCACGAACAATCGAAGAAATCAGCATGACCGTCAGGAAAGCCAAGGGTAGCGAGGCGACAGAGCCAGTAACCAAGCCAGCCGGAGCATTGAGTGTTCAAGGAAACGACTGCAATGATGCTCCATGCTCTGCTCAGTAAGATTTGGGAGGAAGAACAAGTACGTACAGTCTGGAAGTGAAGACACCTGGTAAAGTAAAGAGAGTGACGAGGCTAGAGCTAGCTGTTATTCTGCATGATCAACGAAAAAAGGCAGACGAATAACTACATTGTGCTCAGAACCAGAAGCAGATACAAGAAGACTAGGAAGCATTTAAGAGCGATTTCAAAAAATGCCTGAAACATTGACAAATGGAGAATTCTTGTCGGTGGTCTATGATTCACGGGGAAACAGGTGTAATTAAGCATCAAAGTAGTCTGGCAAACTATCTGCTGCATCAGAATAGCTTTGTCATCCTAGAAAACTCACAAGTTAAAATATGTATCTTGATACAACAATGAGAAGACGTAGTTGATCTAAAAAACGCAATGTATTTGTCTTAGAGGCACTCCTTAGCATACGAAAACATTTTATGGCATATCGGAATTTACTCTGGTAATCTTTAGGCCACCTTATTGCCTATGGCAATGCGAGAATTTCCTTTACTTTATATACTATACCATAATTTTCTCTCTTCCTTACTTACAGTTTATTTGAATCACTCTTACCATTTTAACATAAAAATGCTTTGACAAGTGTATATGTGACCAGACTGTTCGAAATGTATAATGTCATTGCTCTGTCACAATTTATAAAAGTGGTAGATTACTTTTAAAATTGATGAGATGACTAATCAGAAACGCTGAGGTTGCTCTTATGCGCTTGCTACTTCTGAGGTTCATGTTTCCAAAGCTATGCTGAGGTCGCTATTCTGTCGAGACACCCGCAACATTCTTACTCAGACACTTACATTATGACTTAGAGGTTGGCATTCAATAATAATAAAAAAACAGTTAGACAGTGCGAAATTTTATTCATCAAAGTTTTCTTTTTACAAACTCTACTCTTTCGATTTCAACGTACATAAACCCAGCTTCTTACTTCGACTTCTCTTCTATCCACCTGACACTGCACAACTCTTCCTTCTTTTTGCTGTACTCCTTTATCTGTGGGTTATATTCTTATATTCCCATAATTTACTTTAATTTAAGTGGTCACTATGAATTTTATCTTGACTTACCACTGTACTGACTACCTCAACATGACAGGTTAAGTAGTGCTTTGGTTATATATATACACTTCCCGCACTGGCGACTCTAGGGAACATTCACCCTATGCACATGACTGTCTGGATCACAGATCGTGTCATGCGCGTTCTATTTGACCTTTCCCAACAAATTCACTATTTATCTCGGCAAATCTCCAAAAGAACCTAATGTGCATCTTCCTTATTTGTATCCTACTACTGAAAATTTGGCTGTATTATACTGTTTCTGTCAGTAACATGGTGTAAATATGCTATCAGAAACTGACCCTTATACTTAATTTACCTGCTATAACTTTTATAGTAATTGTGAAAGCATTTGTGACGATTTGATCTAGCCTGTTATTTGAGAATAAATATATTTTGACGAATCCGTGAAGCCGCATATTGGGTTTAGAGTGTAATAGTTAGCGTAAGATTTCGAGAATAAACGTAAGAAGAAACCTTGCTTGTTATTCCCAACGGAGTTTAAACCCGAAAATGCATGGCGTTATAAATAAATTCCCCCAAATCTTTAGTTCTGTTACGCTTCGATATTGATACTGACCTCATCACCGATGGTTATATCGTGTTAGGCATCCATCTACGATAACTGGTCAGCCTACAACACTCACTTCTCACAATCCTAACTATGATTCAACCTCCTTCAATTCTATTGTTATGATTGACTGTCTGGTATTCTCCGTTTGAAAGGTAGTAATATGAACTAAAGCATTGTCAAACTCTGAATATCCGTGGCGTCTTCAATTCACATTGTGTTGTGTAACTCTGGCCACAATCGACCCTTAGAGTTTTCTTCGTGATCTATCTCTTTATTCCCACTATGTAAACTCGTCTCTTAGATGAAGGCTACTGCGTACGGACGGTGGATACCCAGTCATCCGATGGACATATCCAATATCCTTCTCACGAGCTAGTAAAAATCAATTTATTTCTTTGTTGCTCAATTCTTGTTCTTTCGGTACAGTTCCAGGTATTTGGTATCTAGAACCTGCCCTAATGAACACCAATTATATAATCCATGTCATTGTGCCTATGATTTTATCGACACATTTGTCTCGAAAACGCAGTACAATCTACTTCCGAAGTATTTAGGAAGTTTTTAAACATTTAAGAAACATGATGGCACAGTCAGCAAAATGGCGTTCGAGTACTTTTTGAAATGAGATCTCGTGTTTGACTGACCATCATACGTTTGGGTTTATTTACAAACTAACCAAAATTACCTCGTCTGTCACTTATCGCAGTGGTCTTAAGACAGGATTTAGAGTCTAGCGCCTGAGATTATGCTAATCAGATGGGAGTTATAGAAACATACCATATGCACATTTTCTATCAGGTAACCTTAAGCATGAAAATTCACTTAGTTACCGTTCTACGCTCCAGAGTGACTGTATTATTTGTCCAGTTTTTCGGCCATCTTTAACACAAGGGCAAAAATAATCCAAAATTAACTGAAGTACCTCAATAGGTGCCACCTGCCTATGTCAAATATCTGTTCAAAAAATATCAAATAATCATCCACTCAGAATTCAACAAAGACAATTAAAAATGAAGACACTATTCTCATGAACCAGTCCTCATAAATATAATCTTTCAGATTTCTGTTTTTTAGATGTTGCTCAACGTGCAATTAGCACAGTATCAGTGCATTTTTACTGGCTTATTCCGAACAAGGATTTTATAGGTCTCAAGTAATCGAACATAAATGTCTCGGTTCCTGATGCATCAATATTTTTAGTCAATTTTCATCTAACATCTATATTTTCAATTAGAGTTATGGAGATTAGTGTTTTTGCACGTTGGAAATAATCAATCAATCATTGTTGGACCACCATTAGAATGAATACGCACTGCTGAAGAGTCCCATATCAGGATGAAACGGCTGTCCAGTGCTTCCAGGTTTCTAATTGTGGTCTAACAATGATTGATTGATGATTTCAAATGTGTAATATCTATATCGAATCAACTCTCGTTCGATAATCCGGTCAAGTAAACACTAGCAAACTTGTGAAATCATTAATTTACATGCAAACTAACTGAAAATTCTCATGGCCGTTAAGGCAGTAGCACAATTAGACTTTCTTTGTTTGTATTAAATGTAGAACAAGTTCGCGTCAGTTAGGATTCGCTAAGATTGAAAAACAACTCTTAAGAGGAAAGACTTCAGCACTTCTGACTATTCTTGCACCAGAGATTATTCGATAATGGCATGCAGTCATTCATCATAATGCATCCTACCAGTACATCTTCCCCACGCCCCTCGGGATAATCCTTGAAAAATAGCACACTGACGAGAAGGAAACTTGAGAAACACAAACGAAACTTTTTGTTGTCACCCCACATCAGTAACTCATTGTATCCTGGTTACTATCATCTATAAATCCTCTTTTACCTTCACACTCTGGTCCTTGAACAATCTGATTGGTTGAATTATTTATCTGCGTGTCTCTGAAACTTTTCTCTTTTCGTTAGCAATAAAGTCTTCTCTTTATTATTCTCCACATTGCGATCAGCTGGTCTTCAACCTGGTAGTGTGTTAGCCGCTGGCATCTTGAAAGTCTACAGACCTGAAAAAAATGCACTCAATCAAATTTCTAGACAAACCAAAACCAATAAAGAACTGTCGAACTGACTGAAATTAGTAGAGTCTAGCAGTTAGACCTTTACACAGTGAAATAACTAAGTACCTGGAACCGTACAGAAACAACAATAGGAGAGTGTGAAGAAATCATTTACTTTAAACTGACTCCTTACAAAGTTATTGAAGTTTGGAACAAAACATTTTAATCACCCAAGGTCATCCTACGGATGATCCCCCATTATAACCAACAGCTTATGGCTCAACATCCTGCTCCCGGGAGGGCTATTATCTCCGGTAAGCTTCGCGATCACTTACTGTTCATGAATTTTGTATCCTAAGTGTGTCGTGTTTAGAATAAATTTGTGTATTAGGAAGCATTATGTTCGTCTTTGTAAATACTGATCCGTAACTAATCGAATCGTGAAATGTTTTTGCTTAAGTGAAATACCCTGGTGTCCGTATTTCTAAATCCTGCTTTTACTCCTTTCATAGGTCTTAAAATTATAACCCAAACTGTTTCTGTGGTAATCCTCGGTCTTATAGAACACTGAAAGCTTCAGGTAAAGAACAGAACTCAAAGGGAAAATCTCGTTTTGTTACTGATAGGGCTGAAAAACATTGTTCAGTGTAACTGGCTGTAAAGTTTTTCAATCCAGCTAGTGCCCAGTAGTTTTACCATCTACATAGTAAGAGTGGTTGTGTGTAATCATATTATTCCCTGTAATTTTTAATACTGTAAACAGCAACCCTCACTTTAAATGATACATTAAGAGTTCTAATATAAAGTTCCAGTGACTCAGTTCAATTGGCCTTCAGCCATCATCTCCAATCTACCTGAATGGTGAATTGTTGCAAGTCCTGCAACTCTTATTGAAGCTGAAAAAGCAATAGTAAATGGGAAGCGAGGGAGAGCGGCGGGTATCAGTTGGTTAACTCTTAAGATTTTTAAATGATGGTGATCCAGTTTTACTAGTTACAGCTGACTGGTCTCAATCACTGAATGTCCCAGTCTATAAGAAAGGACATAAGTCCTCTTGTAACAATCACAGAGGAATCAGTTTAACTAATATAGTGTCTGAATTGTTAGCCTCAATTATCCTTAGACGCCTAACTGGAGCTCGAAGAGCAGATTAGAGAAAACCGGTCTGGATTCAGACCTGGACGTGTATGTATAGACCACATATTCACACTACGACAGGTCTTGGAACACAGACACACATTTAGGGGTCCTACAGTCCATCTTGCTGGACCTAAAGTCGGTACCTGAACTAGTGATAGGGAGTGAAGTAGTCGAGCGTGTAGACCACTTCGCTTATCTCGATTGTCTCATCAGTGTTGATGGCCTGGTGACTGACGAAATCTGAGCATGGATACAGAAGGCTCGATTGGCTTTTACCAACCTGCGTCACTTATGGCGTAGGCGAGAAATCCGTTTGCTAACCGAAGGACGAGTGTACTACACAGCAGTTCGCTCCGTTCTCCTATATGGATGCGAAACATGGCCTGTACGAGTAGGGGACATACGTAGGTTATTGGTATTCGATTATAGATGTCTTCGAAGCATTACTCGTGTATCGTGGGACAACCGAGTAAGCAATGCTGCCATTAGGAAACGACTTCTAGTTAAGAATGGCAGATCAATAGGGATAGCAAATCCATAGATGAAGTAATGAAACATCGTCAGTTGAGGTGATTGGGACACGTGTTACGAATGCCCGAACACCCATTGCCTCGACGAGCGATGTTTTGTGGTGTAGGTTTAGGCTGGAAGAAAGTTAGGGGCGACCAGACCAAAACATGGCACAAATCCATAAAGTCACTGACAAGTGGACTGAGTCATGTTGGTAGATGTAGGCTACCTGGTTGGGGTACGCGAGACGAAAGCCACTGATGGTTAGAGATCTTGGACGGCATGGCTCAGAATCTTTTGCAATGGTGCAGGTGCATCCATTCTTTGTGTTCTTTTAAATTCTAACCTTCTGAATTCCTCCTCACCTCTTTTTCTCTTTCTAAACTTATCTCATTAAAATGTACTTTCGGAATGTTTTCTTCCAAGCCTAATCTCCATTACCAGTAATACTTCTACTATCTCCACCACCATACGGTTTGAATTGATAATTGCGTCTCTGTGGTAATGTAGCATGGCAACCTGAACTGACGTACTTACTTACGAAGTTCTGCGTTGTAACTGACTGACTGACTGAGTCAGGATACACTGCATTTTGTCAGCGTCTTCACCGAATAGAACTATGTCATGAGCATATTCTAGGTCAATAAGCGATCCTCCTGGAAGAAGGTCCATCCCTGAAAAATCTGACAAGTATAATGTTAACTGTAAATGGATGCTTACGACAAAGTTAAAAGGGAGTGGAGAGAGTGGACATCCCTGACAGACACCACTTGAAGTAGAGAATTCCGATGACGGTTCGCCATAGGCTCTCAACCGACCAGTGGTGTTCGAGTAGAGAGCTTGTGTAAGGTTAATGTACTTCTTTGGTGTACCTTTTAATGACAGGCACTGCCACCTCACGATCAACAGAGTCAAATGCCGCCTTTAGGTCCAGCAAGATGGACTGTAGGACCCCTAAATGTGTGTCTGTGTTCCAAGACCTGTCGTAGTGTGAATATGTGGTCTATACATACACGTCCAGGTCTGAATCCAGACCGGTTTTCTCTAATCTGCTCTTCGAGCTCCAGTTAGGCGTCTAAGGATAATTGAGGCTAACAATTCAGACACTATATTAGTTAAACTGATTCCTCTGTGATTGTTACAAGAGGACTTATGTCCTTTCTTATAGACTGGGACATTCAGAGATTGAGATCAGTCAGATGGGATTCAGTCAGTCAGTTGCAACGTAGAACTTCGTCCGTATGTACTTAAGTTCAGGTTGCCATAACACATTAGCTCAGAGACGCAAATGTCAAGTCAAATCCCATAGTGATAAAGATAGTAGAGGTATTAATGGTAATAAAGAAGACTACGGTTCGAAGATATTATTCAAGAAGTATAATTCAGTGAGATAAATTTAGCAGGAGAAAGATAGATGTGATGAGGAATTCAGAAGGTTAGAATTTAAAAGAACACAAAGAGTGGATGCACCTGCGCCATTGCAAACGATTCTGAGCCATATCTTTCAAGATCCCCAACCATCGGTTACTGTCGTCTCGCAGATCCCAACCAGGTAGTCAATATCAACCAACACGACTTAATCCACTTGTCAGCAGAATCATGGATTTGTGCCATGTTTTGGTCTGACCGCCCCTAGCTTTCTTCCAACCTACTCCTACACCACAAAACATTGCTCGTCGAGGCAGTCGGTGGTTAGCCATATGTAACACATATCCCAATCACCTCAACTGATGAAGTTTCACCACTTCATCAACTGATCTGCCATCCTTACCTAGCGCCCGTTTCCTAACGACAGCATTGCTTACCCGGTATTCCCACGGTGTACGAGCAATGCTTCTTAAAGATCTATGATCGAATAATAGTAACCTACGAACATCTACTCTTAACGGCCATTTTTCGCATCCATATAGGAGAACGGAGCGAACTGCTGCGCAGTATACTCGTCCTTTGGTTAGCGAACGGATATCACGCCTACGCCATAAGTGACGCAACTTGGCAAAACCCAATCGAGCCTTCTGTATCCGCGCCGAGATTTCGTCAGTCACCAGGCCATCAACACTGATGAGACAATCGAGATAAGCGAAGTGGTCTACACGCTCGACTACTTCACTCCCTATCACTAGTTCAGGTACCGATGCAACCCAGTCTTGAAGCAACATTTTGCATTTCGATGGGGGAAACTTCATCCCGAACATGCTTGCATTGTTGCTGATGGTAGTCGGAAGACTCCGCATTTTGTCAGCGTCTTCACCGAATAGAACTATTTCATCGGCATATTCTAGATCAGTAAGCGAATTTCCTGGTAGAAGGTCAACCCCCAGCCCAGTTCCTAAATTCTACTTAAGATCTCGGTCAATCTAACCGTTAAAGCTCGACCACCATCCGTAAAAACTCAGGGGTAATCCTATCAGGACCTGCTGCTCTACCTCGCTTCAGATATTCTAACGATTTCTCGATTTCATAAAGACTAGGGGTACTTACGTCGATATGTCATTCAGGATGACTGGAGATCGTGGGTAACAGGAGTGTGTCTGAAGGCCAGTTGAACTGATCCCTAAAGTGTTCTGCCCATCGATCCAATCTCCTGGATAAGTCCCATCTTTTCCGAGATAATCTCACTTACACTAAAATTCCTAATACCAGTTTCCTTGATAAGTTGGAAAAGTTGTCTGCTGTTGCCTATCACCGCTGCCTTTTCCATCTCTATCGCATTCTCCACGCACCACTGTTCACGGTCGTTGCGTATGCTTTTTATCAGCCTGTACTTAGCTGACTTCGTTCTTCATCATGTTCAGAGCCAGGTGATATGAGTTTCCGGGCATCCATCAGATCGGTGGATGCTACTGAGATCCACGGCTTCATTCTAGCCTTATGGTTTACCTTACTAGAAGATATAACTGCTGTTTCCACAGCCTTTTTGATATCATTCCAACCTGCCTCCGGATGAGAATCACTTACATTGTTGCCTAACTCTCTTTCAGTTGTTCCTGGAATATATTCTTAGCCTCATTGTCATTAAGTAGAACCCTAAGAGGTTTCCTTACGGTGTCTTTCCTACGTCCAATAAGCCTCAAACAAATACGCGCTCGCACTAGGGCATGATCTGAATCTAAACATGTGCCCCACAACGAGCGACAGTCCTCTATCGAACCCCTCAATCGGTGGCTGATGGCGATGTGATCTAATTGGGTCCAACGTTGAGACGACTTTGGGGGTTGCCAGGTCAACAGATGTTTCTCCTTATGCCTAAAGTTAGTGTTTGCTAGAAACAGGCGGTTATCTGAGCATACTTGCAACAGACGGTCTCCATTGTCTGTTCTTTCAGCCGCGACACCATAACATCCACCAAGGTGTCTCCTGCTCACTTAGTCTACCTACTTGAGCATTAAAGTCACCAGCCATTATAATTATATCAGAGCGCCTAGCTTTTTGGAGGAGGTTCGAAAGCTTTCTGAACTGCAGTCAGTGGGGCATAGGCAGATACGACGAAGAGGCAACGACGGATGTCCCTATCTTTCCGAGTCCTTACTGTCTCTTAAGTCGGACAGCGCACAAGCGACTATTTATAAGGATCCAGTCTAGGAGAGCTAGTTCTGCCCTACGTCTCAATACTATACCTACACCGGCGAGACCCCAGGAAGCAGCATCAGGGCTACCGGATACACGAAGAGTAAATCGGGCTCCTTCTTTATTTCAATAAGGTGAAATCAGATTAATGGTTTTACTAGGATCCTGTATGCGCGTTTCTGAGACGCAGCATACATCGATGGAACGAGATTCTAAAGTCCTAGCTAATGATGCCTGTTTCCCTATTTGACACAATGTCCGTACATTAAATGCTCCAACATGTAGTTTAGAACGGGGTTTAAGGAAACCAGGAACGACGTTTCGTGAACTGGCATCGTTTGCATTAGCGGTGCAGTGAGATGAAGGAATGCGACTAGAGTTAGTCGTAGAGATAAGAGAGATATTAGGGAGTGTAAGAAGGATTTGATTTTGATTTTGACCAATTTGGTCTCGTGTGCTGTTACGGGTATGAGGGCGGTTGTCACTTCCCGGCTGCCCACACCGTGGAAGGTTGTTCCTTGAGGGACCTGAAAAAGAAGATAGATTAGTGTTGGTCTTAGAGACCTGGGAGCGTGACCGCAGAGTCCAAGGGACAACTGCTTGAGGCCGGTCACGCATGGCCTTTTTTATGAAGGTTTTTTTTAGTATTAGCTCCGTTCTTAAAAGCCCTTAGTGGGCACCCTTACCCAAGGAGACGGAAATCCGTGAGGTAGAGAGAGGTGTGACATTGTTAGGGTCGAGCTTTTCTAACCCTTCCTTCCTTGTGAGAAGGCAGCATTGCTGCAGATGCTGGTTGTCCGAGGGAAACACCTTACTGCTGTCACACCCCTCTGCAGTAAGCAGTACGACTTCGCCCTCAGACCTTGAGTAGCTGCTTTTAGTCTCATCGTTCTCCAATCGACCTGCCTGGCATGGTAGAACCTGCAGGAACATATGTTCCAACCAACATAGTTCGGTTGGGTCATCACGACAGGCAAGTCCAACCACCACGTCAAGGTGGCAGCTACGACTGAACTAAGCTTTTTGAAATTTGTCCAGTTGGTTTTACAGAGTTATGGTAATTCTATATATCATTCATATTTTTGATTCTCAAGGTCCGCGTCCATCTGGTCCAGGTATTCTGCCATCCATAGTTGGTCAAGATGGTAATCAGGTTAGTCAGCTTGCAGGTAGGCGAATGTTGCCAGCTGATCCGCGCTTGCATCAGATTATTGGACGTGCGGCTACTGCGTAAGAATTTCATTATCAATTCTTTCATCTTATCAAAGATGTACTTTTTAAATATATAAAACATTTCTAACTTTTCTCATTATTCTATCGATGATGAGTTTGTTTAAAATGCTCTGCTTTTTCTGGTCAATTTGGGTTTAAGCTAAGACGTACTGCTCGGCAAAGAAATAAAACTAATTGACGGATTTCGTATAAAAAAAACCGCGGCGGACCAAATAAACTAGCAATTAAGCACTCCTAGAACAATGTGTGTGTCACTTTATGTGCATCATCTAGAATTTTTCATTGTATTTAGTGACTGAATACTATATATAAGAGCACTACTTTCACTGAGGATTTCATTTCAAATCATGACTTTTTACCCACCAAGTTAGGATATACTCTAGTGTTCTGTTCGTTGAAGACCTATGTAGATAGCGTTAGGTGATTGCAACTAAATCTTCAATGTAAATTACACTCCTATATGCAATACTGTCCCATTAATTGAACGGAAAAGCGCTTAAAAAAATCCTAGATATAGTACTTTTATTGAGCATTGAGGAGGATAGTTATCCTCGTCCACAATGCAAAATAAACTATTTTTACTGTGTTTTGCTTTATTTTAGCCATAACATTTTTCGTCCCAATACGAACAATTCATCTATATACCACAGTTTTTGAAACGAAATGTGATTCAGTTGTAAAGCTGTTATGTTTAATACAGCTTTTTGTTGTTTGCTTGTTTTATCTCAGTATAATTGGTAGGATTCTGTTTGCTGAATTTCATTGTCTTGAGACAAAGTATTCAGCGGCTATGAAATATCCATAAGTTTTTGTGATTATGAACTTGATGACTTTTGCAAGTATATGGGGACCTGTTACACAAATTGTGTGAGTCATGTTTAGAGACAGTAAGTGAACCCTTCATTTTTTTAATCGATAATTGGTACTTCGACTCCTGGCTATCTTAGTAACACAGTTCGGTCATACCTAACTCATAAATTATTAATGTGTCAAAAAGTTCAATCAAAAATGATGGAAGCAAGTGCCATTATTATCATAGTGTTAATATTTAGAGTGTGTTGGAATCGTTAGATAATAGCCGGGAGTAATTTAGAACTTTTAAAAGGATCTATCCAAGAAAGTTAATACTCACTGAGTCTATCCCTGAGGGAAACGGATCTTTGAAATACCTTTCAAACAAATAATTAAAAGATGACGAAAACAATCTTAGTTCTCCAACTCTTGCTTTTATCTATAAGTTTATAGTATGCCTAAACGGGAGCGAATAGTAGAAATTGACTTCAGATGTCTTTTGGGGTAGTTCTTAGGGGTTTCCTTCTAGGTTAAATGAGGTATCATTTCAAATTTATCGTAAAAGTCCCCTCAGTGCACCTATAATATTGATTTTTGAAAGATATTAAAATTCGTTAAATTACTTGTGATACATAACTGGCTGAAAACTTACAAGGTCGTCCGGAATAAAATCATTGGTTCCAGGCACGACCAAGACTGTATTGTAGTTTTCTACTTCAAACCAGGTCTAGATCATCGATGTACTTACAAATGGTTCTCTCTCTCTGTGAGTTTTTTTCTTAACCTAAGAGTGGCGTTTGAGTTGGTTGGTCGGATAATTTTGTTGTAAAGGGAGTGTTTGCAAAGTATGGTAACTATCAGGAACTGAAATCTGTGGCAATAAACCTGTGACATGGTCCGAATATAATCACAATAACGTGAATTCATTTCTTTCATTTTTATTCTTGATTTTATCACTATAAAATGTCGTTATATAAATAAAAGGCTTTTCAGTCGAACTTGACGGTTGGAAAACTGGAAACCTGTAAAATTATATGCCTGAGTCAAGATCTCATTGCATTACTGAGCTGTCAGTGCTAAAGTTCAATAAGTCATTTTACATGTTGACATCTAAGTTTTTGAACGCACTTGGTGCTATTGAACATTAGCCGAAATTCTTAGTAAATTGAGCAGTTTTGTTGAGTTTATTGATGATATAAAAGTAAAAATATCTATTTTAGTAAGCGAAAACGTCGTCTGGCTGACCGTCTTCTCACAAAGACGGTACGAGAAATCATTCCAGAGTCCGAATCATATATGGAGCTTCTAGAAGTTGAAAAGAAATTGGATTTTGTTTTAATGCGTAAACGTTTAACACTGCAGGAAGCAATGAAAAAACCTTTCAAGGTAGTTTGTCAATCTTTATGTGGTATCAACATTCATTTTATAGGTAAAACGCAAATTAAGAGTCATACTCAGCAGTACTTTTAAGCCTGGCTCTACTGCAATGCCCGTTGGATCAGACGGACAAACTACACCTGGTGATTGTGCTCCTGGTTGGGAGCTGAAAGTTGAAGGACAGTTGTTAGATAAAGTGAGTGAATGATGTAATTAGTATTTCTTCATTTGTTTCTCAGTATTTCTATCTGTTGTAAATTCCAGTAAATTAGTTCTTCAGTTGATATCGCCATTAGCTTATTGATATTATATGTATTTGACTATTTCAAACCCTATTTTTGAAGGCTTCAAATGCTAATCTACCATTCAACTACGCCTTTATATAATCAGTTAATACTCCGCTATGATAGTTTTAGAACCTAGAAATTTGGCTTAACAGTTATGAATATTTCTAATCAGTGATACTAAGTATGAATAGTAGCATGGTGGATATGCAAAGCTGGCGAACTATGTGACTGTAAGGTAGGATAAAAGCAAGTGATTAATAGTAATATTGCTTAGGTTTGTAACTAGTTTATGACTTGCTATTTTTATCCGTGTTGTATTTAGGGAACGTGACTATCATTTAGTGTCATTCACTCTCAAGGTACGTCACTTCAAACCTTATCAATGTTCCTGATGTAAAATTGGTTAGGTTGGTAAAAAAAATGTTGTTTTGCATTTTAGCCTGGTCAACCAAGCAATAATGACCCGAAATGTCGTAGAAAATTTTCATCTTTCTTCAAATCACTTGTAATTGAATTGGATCGCGAACTCTATGGTCCTGATAACCATCTAGTTGAGTGGCACAGAACAGCTACAACAGCCGAAACTGATGGATTCCAGGTATTTATATAATTCCATGTGATGAATTATGTTTAATTTTGTTCAAATCTAACGTATTCTTCCATCTAATGTTTTTTTCTTTTTAAAGAGAATAGTGTTTTGTACGTATTTCGTACTTACGACTGATCAATTTTGATTGGTTGTACTCTTATTTTAAATGTAGAATATTTAGTTTATTTCACCTTATATTTATTTACCGAACTATTTCATATGCAGAATTGATATTGGTCATTATATTTTTTTCCTTATTGTAATTTAAAGGTAAAGCGAAGAGGTGATAGTAATGTTCGTTGTACGGTATTGTTAATGTTAGACCATCAACCTCCTCAATATAAGCTAGATTCACGTTTAGCAAGAATATTGGCTCTGCATACCGGTACACGTTCACAAATATTCTATGCTCTATGGAACTATATCAAAACACATAGGTTTGTTTGAATTATTATTCATAAGTTATGTTTTTCTGTTATAAAGTTTATTTATTTTATTTAGACCACTAACTGATCAGAACCTGGAAGCAATGGATGGCCGTTTTGTTCTAGTTTGAGACTGATCCACTTCCCTGTAACCTGGAATTTAAGCCTGGACAAAACAACACTTCAGTAATTTCAGGTTTTCAATGATTGTTTAAGTTTTATCGGTTCGTAATCTCGATAGAATTTAGCAATCTCTACAACCCCATTTATTAGTTTATTTATTTTCTAATATCATCTTTGTGTAAAAGAGTCCAGTTTCCATACGTCCAAGTGATAAAATCTATGATATGCTTTTAAATGGCTTACTAATCAAGAGTTGTAGGAATAGGGTTTTTGAGCCAGTTACAATACTGAATATTTTGTAGGTATGTAAATGGTAATGTCGTTTAGTTTTACTTCACTCCTTTAAAAGTGAATCCCTGTCGTCATTGAACAGTCATTGTTTTCATTTTAAATGGTCGACACTCTGATGAATTCCGTTTCGATTGAGTAGCTGATCTTTGTATTCAATACTGATATTATGCACGCGTAAATTAACCATTTATGATAAAGTTGATCACGAATAAAATCACAAAGCAAGGGGAAAAAATTTGCCAGATGTTGATCGGCTAACTCTACTTATATGATATTCACATACAGGTCCAATAGTGTCTTAGGGTACAACACAATACCTCCATTTGTTTTATGTGACGGTAAAATGCGGTCTTTCAGACTTTATGATATGAAAAGTTTAGCAGTCTGTGACCTCTTATTCAGTCTAAGCTCTTATCATAAACACATTAGACAATACTCTCATACTATAAGTAAAGCTGTATGCAAAACTAGTAAGTCATTTTATAGTATGATACTACGTTAATGATTATGGCTGAAATAGGTTTTCTTTCTGGTTTCGAAGTCATTTTCGTTTGATGTATGAAATCTGTTAAATTAAAAGTAATGTGGAATAATCCCCAGCTCCATTGTATTCGTAAAAGAATATAGAATTCGCTTGCTGCTTAACCACTGGTGATTCATGGTTCTGAACTTTTGTACTAGGGGAATATTACAGGCCTTACCAGGAACATGAAATTTCACTGCTAAGCTCTTTTTCTGTACCTGTTCTTCTCTCTGTATTAATTATCCATACTTCATCCATCCTCCCTCTATTAGACCATTTTCAATTTTGAACTATCTTGTCATAGTTACCAAAATAATTTTTCTAAAAACAAAACAGTCCTTATTTATTTTGACCGGAATTTTCGTTAGTGTTTTCATCTGTTTCTCTATGCTTATTATTTTTGTAGATTACAAGATCCCAATGAGAAGGATTTCATCAATTGCGATTCATATTTGGAACAAGTATTCGGATGTCCTCGAATGAGATTTGCTGATATACCTAGTCGTTTGGCTCCTTTACAACAACCACCTGATCCCATAGTGATTAATCATATTATCACAGTTGAAGGCGATGGTGGCCCCAAAACAGCATGCTATGATATTGAAGTTGAAGTGGTATGCTACAATGTTTATGTTTGCAGTGTCAAATACCAACTATTTGTAACTAAAATGGGAATTTTTTAATCCCTATATTAAATTTTGATGTTAGATGTATATTGCAACTAGTTTGGTTATGATGAAAATGTTATTATTAAACCTTTGGTATGACACCATAAAAATCATTTAGTTTCCTTAGACGCCAATAAATTATCGTCTTCGTGAGTTGTGTGCAAATAAAAGATACTTCCTTATTGGTTTTCAGTAGGTATACGCCATTTTAAGAATTCTAGTTTATTTGAAAATCCCTTGTTAGCAATAGAAACTTTAGTAAATGGTATAATATTGTCTACATTTAATCTTCGTTTGACAGACAATACACAGTACTGTGAGAACGATTTGGAAGCCAGAATACATGCGTGTAAATCAGTCATTTAACCTTGTAGAAAGACCTCATTTTGACTTTTTATAAGGACCTCTATTTTCTAAAGAATGTTTTATTTTTTTATTGGGAAACTTTTTAACTATATCTTTCGATTACTCTTGATATTCACAGGACGATGTATACAAAAGTATGGTACATACATATCTAACTAATATGCATACAAGTCAAGAGCTATCCGCTATCGATAATAAAGTAAGTCCCAGTTTGTCATAAACCTTAAACTCAAAACCACTCCAAACGTTTTTAGTCCTTCAAGCTCAACATCATTGTTCAAGAGAAAACACCCACTCTAAGTACTCGAGAGAATTTAAATGTTTTAGCTCCGTATGACAGATAGGAATGGAACACAATCCAATCTAAAGATGCATCGGTTCGAGTAAATTCGTCAATCACACGGATTGAAGATAAGTTCGGATCATGCTAAAGCGTAATAAACATGTCGACAGTTATTCGGAAATATGTAGGACATTGTTATCCTATTCCAACTTGATGTAATTAGAAATTGGTGAACTTTCAGTCACACTTGTGATAATTGTACCAAAAGTTAGTCGCGATTAACTGTACATTGTGACACAAAAAGTGATCTGATAACCTTCTGATTGCCCACGTAGGCGAGTTTCATTTTGAGCTTAAAGGCATAATCTCTTTTGAAGTTCACAGCACACGGACGGTTGTTAAGCACGCTTCTTTAAAATCATTCAGATTATGGTCTCGAGAGCACATAATAATAGAGAAAAGCAAATTCTGTCTCCTGTTAGCTCTCAAACCGACTGATGATGGTATGTATACAAGACTGACGCCAGAAATATTAGATATTTGTGGAACAGAGTCTTAAAATAAATGAACTTATGTAGAACATTTTTGGCGTTAAAAATTGAAAGACAGGTTTGCAGTAAGTTGCTTGAATTTCGAATACAGGGTTTCGAAATACAGCGTATACCTAAAGAGCGACTTTCTAGAGCCCAGAGGTAAACTTATTTGAGTCGACATGCGGACATTGCACCTAAAAGGTTAAATTTGTGTGTAGTTTTAAATCACCTGGATCGAATCTAGCAAACGTTTATTGGTTCTTATCTATTTACCCACTTGAAACGATGAACTTTAATGCATGGTTCTACATTTTTATATTTATTTACTTATCTGTTGCGTTAAGCTGTGCACAAATAGAAATAATAATTGTCAAACTTGTTTGACAATGCACTGGTACACATTTGTTTCTTGTGTAGTGAATCTGTTATCACACGCCTACGTGATTTATTCTAAACTTTTGCCAGATAAATCATTCTGATCTTTCTATCTGTCTTATCCCTATGTTTGGCCTTGTCAATTACTTCACTTGTAACCTTGACCATGCTTTACACGTATGTCAGAACGTTTATATCTGGCCTTTTCATGGTTATAAAGACGAACACACTACTCACTGAGTTGGCCATTTTTACAAACTTCAATCCATATGCATTTCTCTTCTCTCATCGTTTGTCTGAAATAAACATTATCCAAATTATATCGTATTCAACTTCTTATATCCATGCTGTTATTGACGGGATAAATCAACAGGATGCATTCAAAGTGTATAGGATATATATTTCATTACCATCAATACCGTCCAATCGTATGGTGTCATTACAGACCAAAACCTGAAATCATTTAAATAGTAATGGTTCTTCTTAACCGATATTTTTATTTTTTATAGATACACGAATTGGTTGAACAGATCAATCAAATGAAAGTTCATCGTGAGTTTTACTTAGAATTCAGCCGTGACCCACAGACCTTCATATCTCGTTGGTTAGCTAGTCAGTGTCGAGACTTCTGGGTGATGACCGATGCTACACCAGGACATCCCGAAGAAGAGCGTCATGCAGAATTCTATAACGCTCACTGGACGCAAGAAGCAGTAATGCGCTACTTTTACAACCGGGTAAGCCATTCTTATTCTTGTAGCTTAATACTCAACAACACACAGTATCCCAAAAGCTGTAGAATTTTAGCAAGGGGAAGCTTTATTTTCCTCTAGCAGATATTATCAAATCGGTAAACGTCTAATCAAGGTGACGGCTAAGCGTAAACCTATGCTCCTTCTCGTAAAAGAAGAAGTTCCCGGTCAACACTGTACTAAGTTAGATAAAATGTAACCTACTCAGTAGTGGAGCTTCGAAAAAACTGAACGGGCAGTCTAAAGTTAATTGTTTTAAATGCAGTTTCACCAATTAATGTTTTCATGTATTAAACGACTGTAGTGTTCCACGACTGTTCTTTTTCAAGAATGACTGGTCAAAGTATTGTCAGTAAGTTACGGCATAGAAATTTGTACGTTCGTACATCAGTTCAGGTTGCCATACAGCATCAGCACTGAGACGCAATTGTCAATTCAAATCCCATAGTGGTAGAGATAGTAGAAGTATTACTGGTAATGGAGATCAGGATTTGAAGATATTATTCAAGAAGTGCAATTCAGTGAGATAAGTTTAGACAGACAAGGGTAGAGGTGTTGATGGATTCAGAAGATTAGGATTTCATATAACACAAAGAATGGATGCACCTGCACCATTGCAAAAGATTCTGAGCCATGCCGTCCAAGATCTCTAACCATCAGTGGCTTTTGTCTCGCGTACCCCAACCAGGTAGTCTACATCTACCAACATGACTCAGTCCACTTGTCAGTGACTTTATGGATTTGTGCCATGTTTTGGTCTGGTCGCCCCTAACTTTCTTCCAGCATAAACCTACACCACAAAACATTGCTCTTCGAGGCAATGGGTGGTCGGGCATTCGTAACACGTCCCAATCACCTCAACTGATGAAGTTTCATTACTTCATCTATGGATTTGCTATCCCTATTGATCTGCCATTCTCAACTAGAAGTCGTTTCCTAATGGCAGCATCCTGTAGTGAAAGAGAACACAGGTGAGGGCAACCGAATTGTATTTAACGAAAATTACAGAGTTACTCAGTAAAATATGAAAACCATATCGTAAACGGTTAATTTCAGTCAGTCAGTCAGATGCAACGTAGAACTACGTACGTAAGTACATCAGTTCATGTCGCCATACCACATCAGCACAGAGATGCAATTGTCAATACAAATCCAATAGTAGATGAGGTAGTAAACGTATTAGAAGTAATCGGAGGTTAGGATTAGAAGATATTATTCAAGAAGTATGATTTAATGAGAAAAGTTTAGAAAGTCAAAACTAGAGGTGTTGAAGAATCCAGAAGATTAGGATTTGAGAGAACGCAGAGAATAAATACACCGGCGCCATTGCGAACGATTTTGAGCCATGTCATTCAAGGTCTCTAACCATCGATTATTATCATCTCGCGGACCCCAACCAGGTAGTCGACAATTACCGACATGGCTAAGTCCACTCGTCAATGACTTCATGGATTTCTGCCATGTTTTGGTTTGGCCGCCCCTAAATTTCTCTCAACCTATTCCTACATCACGAAACGAAGCACGACGAGGCAGTCGGTGGTTGAGCATACGCAACGCACTGCTCACTCGCGTGTCCCAGGATATACGAACAATGCTTCGAAGACACCTATGATCGAAAACCAGTAATCTACGAATATCTTCTACTCTGACTGGTTGTGTTTCACAGCCATAAAGTAAGACGGAGCGAACTACTGCGCAGTACACTCGTCCTTCGGTTAGCAAACAGATTTCCCGCCTACGCTATAAGTGACTCAGGTCGGTAAAAGCCAATCGAGCCTTCTGTATCCATGCTGAGATTTCGTCAGTCACCAGGCCATCAACACTGATGAGACTCCCTAGATAAGCGAAGTGATCAACACGCTCGACTACTTCACTCCCTATCACTAGTTCAGGTACCGATGCAACCCAGTCTTGAAGCAACATTTGGCATTTCGAGGGGAGAACCGCATCCCGAACATGATGCATTGTTGCTTAGAATAGTCAGAGGACTGTATTTAGTTTCGCTAACAGATGGATTTCTAATACGCGTTTCCTTAATTAGGCGGAACAGTTTTCTGCTGTTACCTATCGCCGCTACCTTTTCCTTCACCCGTACAAGAATATTTGATCCAGGCAGTATAGCTTGGTAAGGTCATCCCGATAAGCAAGCCCGACCACTACGTCGAGCAAAGTATAGTCTGTCGGTCCCCACTGTTGAATCAGTTTGATAATGGTTACGAGATCAACAAGTTTCTCTCCATACACGTAAACGTGGTAGTTGTCGTTGTATGGAGTCGTCATTACAAGTTCACAGGCCTAGAATACAAAGATCCTGACCACAGTATTTCTGATTGCCCGACTCTCAAGGGATAATGTCTTACATTTACCACGCCAGGTAAAGAAAGATGTATATGTACGTCTGTTACGTACGGCTATTTACCAGTGAATAGAGGTTATTAGTCTGGCTGAATTTATAGTACGTGCATTTTATGATTCATGGGAAGCATCACGTGACAACATTATATTTCTTTCAATCCGGAGTGGAGTATGGGTCTCTCTTCTGGAAACAATAAACGTAGATACTAAAGTCTTTAGTACTTTTATTTATTTTCACCACTAGGTGATAATATAGTGGTTAATTTTCGTTATTCGGAACCCTCGTCTGAATTATTTAGTCTACACCTTATTAAGACAGAAAAGTTTGAATTGTAACCATGAAAGCCAACTGGGTAGTTCTTTTATACCTTCTCAATGTTTCTCTTTTTATAAAAAACGAACGCTTGTTAAGACATGGTCTACCTTTCATTTTTATTTAACAGATTTCGCAAAGACGACAGGATTTAGAACACGCGCTGGGGCTTAACAACAATTAGTGCTAAGGACTTCTTCCTGTGCATTTTAAACTCAGTGAAAGAAATACGACCACTAAATGCTGACTCATAACCAATATTATATTATTCGTTATATGTTTCAATGGTTCTAACTCAGTAATTCGTATACTCCCTGCAGTCAAAATGACCTTGTTTCTGTGGTGTTTGACTAACTTACTGTTATACATATATATATATACACGGTAATTCTGTTTTTAAATAAGATGCTGTGGATCAGTAGCCATAAAGAGTGGAGTTGAAGTGCGGGTCGAGAACACCAATGTCAATAAGTAGCAGTAATCTTACTTACGCCTGTTACCTGGGCCTTCCTTTCCAGTTCTGTCCACATTTTTTCTGTCTCGATTTATGGACGTAATGTGTTCGTTGGCCTTTCTCTTTTGCTTTTACCTTGAGGGTTCCATATGAGGGCTCGTCTTGTGACTCAGTTGGGTGCTTTTCGCGGTGTGTATCCTATCCGATTCCACCGCTTCTTCCTGATTTCCTCTTCCACTGGAATCTGGTTTGTTCTCTCCTACTGTAAGTTGTTGCTAATAGTGTCTGGCCAACGTATACGAAGTATTTTGCGAAGACTGTTTATAAATACTTGAATCTTCTGGATGATGGCTTTCGTAGTTCTCCCAGTTTCCGCTCTATACAGTAGAACCGTCTTGACATTTGTATTGAAAATCCTGATTTTGGTGTTGATTGATATTTGTTTGGAGTTCTAGATATTTTTCAATAGGAAAAATGCAGCCCTTGCTTTGCCAATCCGTGCCCTCACATCTGCATCGGATACACTTAGATTGTCGATGATGCTGCCCAGATGTGTAAAGGTGTTAACGTCTTCCAAGGAGTCTCCATCAAGAATTATTTGGTTGGTGCATGTTGTGTTGTATCGTAGAATCTTACTTTTCCCTTTATGTATATTGAGACCTGCTGCTGCTGAGGGTACTGCTACACTAGTTGTCTTCTCTTGCATTTGTTGCTGCGTGTGCGATAGAAGAGCCAGATCGTCCAGCTGCATCTTAGTTGTCCGCTGTATCCCGTGCTTCCCCCCCAGACGTTGACATCTTCATAATCCAGTCGATCACCAGGAGAAACAGAAAGGGTGAGAGTAAGTAACTTTGCCTGACACCGTTCCTCACCCAAATAAGTCTGTCCTCTGTGTACGATTTTGCAGTTTAATCCATCATAAGAATTCCCTATCATGTTGACTATCTTCTCAGGCACGCTATTGTGCCGAAGAAGTCTCCATAGTGTTGTCCTATCCACAGTATCAAACGCTTTCTCGCAGTCAATGATGCTGATGTAGAGTGGTGAATTCCACTCAAACGATTGTTTCACAATAATCTGTAATGTTGCTATTTGGTCGGTACACGATCGATCCTTACGAAATCCAGACTGTTGGTCTGGAAGTTGGACGTCTAAGAAGTCCTTCATTCTGTTTAACAATACCCTGTTGAAGACTTTGCCTGGTATTGAAAGAATGATGCCTCTGTAGTTCTCACACTTCCTGAAATCGCCTTTCTTTGGTATTTTGATCAGATACCCTTATTTCCAGTTTGTTGGTACTTGTTCTTCCTCCCAAATCTTGTTGAAGAGAATGTGAAGTATTTTTACAGTTGCTGCTACGTCTGTTTTCGTTGCCTCTTATGGAATATTGTCTGGTCCTGCTGCTTTGCGCTCTTCATTTGTCTGATGGCCATGCTGATCTCTTCAATTGTAGGTGCGCCAACATCGATTGGGAGGTCCGTAGGTGCTGCTTCGATGTTATGTGGATTTAGTGGGGCTGGTCGATTCAAGAGTTCCTTAAAGTGCTCCACCCGCCTGTTTCGCTGTTCTTCAGTGTTGCTGATTACTTTGCCTTGCTTGCTTTTCACTAGTCGTTCTGGTTTCCGATAGTTTCCAGCGAGCTTCTTTGTTGTTTCGTACAACTGTCTCAAGTTTCCGTCTCTTGCAGCCTTTTCCGCCGTCATTGCTAGATCCTCCACATATTTTCGTTTGTCAGCTCTGATGCTCTTCTTCACTTCCCTGTGTGCTTCTGTGTATGCAGCTTGTGCCTTAACTTTCTCTGCTCTCGTTTAGCTGACATTGATTGTTACCTTCTTGTTCCTTCTTTCTTGAATCTTATCAGGTGTATCAATAGTGATTAATTTCTTGTGACCCAGGACCTCCTGACATGTTGAAGTGATTGCCTCTTTTATCCCTTTCCAATTGTTCTCCAAGGTTGTTCCCCTCCGTTTAGTAGATCGTAAAAGGCCTGTAACCTACTGCTGAGGTCGTCGAGTTTTCCAGTATCCCGAAGAAAAGCTGTATTAAACCTTTGTGAGTTTGTCCACCCCGTTTTCCAGTGTTTCCTGAGCTTCGGTTTCATTTTGGCGACCAGCAAGTGTTAACCTGAGGCTATATCAGCTCCTATCTTGGTTCTCACGTCCTCTATGATCCTTCTGAAATTTTTATTGATATATATATGTTCGATATGGTTCTGAGTAGTGTGACCCGGTGAAATCCATGTAGCTTTGTGTGGGAATATTGTGCCTCTGATGACCAGTTTACTGAAGGCACACAGGTTTGCGAACCGCTCAACATTTTCGTTCCTGCCTCTCAGTCCATGTCATCCCATGATGTCTTCATATCCTATGTTATCCATGCCAGCCTTGGCATTTAGGTCTCCCATCAGAGTGGTCAAATCCTTTGATGAGCATCTGTCGACGATTGATTGCAGCCTTTCATTGAATTGATCTTTAACTTCGTCGTTGTAGTTGTTTTTGGGTGCGTAGCATTGGATGACGTGCATTGTAATGCCCACTTTCTTCGTTTTGAAGGATGCTTTAATGATTCCCATCCTATCAGTGCCTTTTGTGCTTGTTTGGACAGCATCAATGCAACTGCTTGTGTATGTGAAGCATTTTCCTCTTCATGACCAAAGTATGACAGCAGCTCTCCTGAACCTAGTTTCAGTTGTCCAACTCGCTTCCAATTCGTTTCACCGATTTCATGCACCTCTAGGTTATACCTTTACATTTCTACAGCAACTTGGAATAGTCTTCCAGTCCACCAAATAGTCCGAACATTCCATGTACCTAAAAGAATGGTTGCTTTGGTTATCAGAAGAGGCGTGGGCCTCGGCACTTCCTGAGGAACTCCGCTTTCAAACTGGTTCGCGCGCAAGACCGATGGTCCTGGGTTCTTATCTTGCGAGGTGCAGGAATTGTGGATGTGCACTGCTGATGAATCGCACACTAGGACAAAAAGGCCGTCCAGTGCTTCCAGGTTTCTAATGAAATTACTTGCATCAGTCTGGTGCAGAACAAATAGTTAGACGAAGAAGAACCATAATTAAGTTGGCCCAATTGCAAAAAAACACTCCATCGAGCAAAGTGCTCTGAATGAGCACGAACTATCTGTCAAACGCAGTGACATTCAATCTCATCAGTGCACATGGGAAATCGTGTACCCGCACTATACAGGGAAGTTTGGGACGTCAGATTAGCAACCAATAATAAACACATTGAAATCAATTTATTTAAAATAATTGGTTCGAGAGAGAAAATCAAAATAAGGACAATAAATATCAAAGAGTCGACAGTAAACCGAAAGGTTGGTTTATATGCAGGGCCATATCAGTCAGACCAACATCGTGGCCGTCACGAAAATAGTCCAGATTGACGTGAACTGTTCAGGCTCTCACAATGTGTTGATCGATTTCATCTGTAGCGTCACCACCAGCACTCAGTGATACAGTCGTGCCCTAAGCTAGTACAACGAATGAGGCTTCTTCCATCATTTTCATCTGTGTTCCACTTACTAGAGTGGGAGGCCGTGTCGTAACGTAAGATTTGTTTATGATGACTCTAGTATTACTAAAAGTAAACCCAAGTTAATTGGTTACGACGATTAGACTTTGTGAGCTGAACAGTTGTCACTCAACACAAAGCGTGGTAGGAATGTATAGACCGTTCACAAAGTAGTGTGTTGAAAGTCGACCTTACAGTTACCTTAAGTCGTGTTTAGCGATCTCACAACTTCATCAGTTCTCTACGTTTGCGCCTTGGTTGTCTCCCAAATCAGCGTGTTCCGGATGCGCCACTGCTTTCATATTCGTGTGTCGCTCATTGGCTGTGTCAGCGCTGTATTCTCAGTAACAACTTGTTTATTATTGTTATGCGTTTGAACGACGTCTTTGTAACGAGTTTAGATGCTGCGAGTATTCTCACCCAACCATCTAGTCTCTGAGTCACACACCTTTCTAACCGTGTGGTTTCATCGGTTACGGTGCATATGATTTTTCTGACGGTTTGTTAACTTGGTGAAACATATCTACAGTTGTCAATAATTATGAGGAGCATGTTTATTTAAATGCTTTACGAACGGACTTGTACGACAGACTGAACTGTAGTTTTAATCCGCCTTGCCATCGCTGTCATAAACAATATAGGGACTTGGACAAACATATACGTCCGCGAAACCAAAACTGACTCCGCATCATGTCGTCTAGTTTCTTAAGATTGATTACTATCACCACGCAAAGCCCAACCAAGAAGTGGAGTTTGTATCTTAACATAGTTTCTAACACAGTCAGGAAGTTGTTAGAAAGAAATCTAAATATCAACCAACAAGTTGCTAATTTGAGCCCATCATATCTTTTTTGATTTGGCTTAGCTCTAAGCAATAAATAAACTTTGGCCACAATAAAGAAAATTCGGAAAATTTGTTTATATCTGCTCGACGGACATCGGTGCCTACTATGTTGATCATTTACATACGAACTAATGGTAGCCCCTTTATTATTAAATGACCTCAACCCACCCTAATGCCTCTCATAATCGACTGTGAAAAAGACGTCTTTTCGTACAGTGCTGCTGACTGAAAGCTAACTTCGACAGATTAAGAAAGGTCCTTAAAAAGCCATCAGTCATGTTACGAGATTGAAATATGGCTTGTGTTTTAGTGTGCGTAAGTAATTACCAATTGAACACAAACTTAGAAAAATCAGATTAGTGAGTCGTACAACAGTGAAGCTAGTATGTTTTAAATGAACCTTATTTGTGAAACAAAAATGTTGGTTGTATTTACCAGTTACCTAATAAGCTTAAACATATTTTCTATTACGGAGAGTTGACTCCCAGTCGCTAAGTTACAGATTCAGACCCTATTCTACCTACTTAGGTTTGGACGACTAAGTAGCATTATTAGACTTCAAAAGGTGTAGCTTATAATTGAGCACCTGGGAAATGAGTGATTTTATTCAGCTCGATATAGGTATTCTAAGCTCAAACCAAACTAGAAAGATTTGCTATTCGCATCTTAACATTGATGTTCAGAACTGCGACTTACTAGTCCCTTTTGACATACGTGCATCCTGTGCGGATTCCCTCGATATTGCCTTTAAAATAGCCTTTTTATCAGAGATGGAATGGTGGCTAGCAGTAGAATACAGGACATTTTTTTAATCTTATTTGATGCCCACCAGTTCGATTACATGACAATCCCGAGCACTCCTGGGTTTATCAGAGACGCAGAATGAATGACAAAATTTAGGAAACATTTATAAAGTTAAATTATATCTGCGATTAAAATATCATCTGCTCGTTAATTACATTTTTGTAACACTTTTCTTCTCTGACGCATCATGTGAGTGTACATTGTCTTTGAACCTATACAAATGAAAAGCTAAGTAACAACAACTAACCTGGGATGTAGGTTACAAGTATAGTAATTAAAGCGAACCAATAACTGAATGAACAATTTAGAGCGTTTGGAAGATCGAAGGAATACTTCCTTGTTTCATTCAGTCTTCTGATGCCACTTACTATCAGAAAAATCTCACCCTGAATTATGGATTTAGAGTAAACTTTTGTGACTTACAGAAATTCCAGTTGGATATAAAACGATAAATGCTGAGTACCTATGGGAAAAATGAATGGTAAACCTTTTTTACCTTAACCATGTTAGCAGATTTAACTTTATCCCACAGATATCTGCCAAGTAATACGAATATCGAATCATTTCAGCTATAGACCATGATGTAACAATGAGTGGGACACCCAAATTATTACGTGAAATCTAAAGTATTATACTATGCAAAATCAATTTACTTCTGGCATTATGTACAGAACTCCCCATACAACTAGTAGTCGAGAGGATACCTGCAAAATTGTTGTAATGACAGAAGATCTAACTAATCCTATTGCGGAATGGATTATCTAGAGAGATTATTATTTTTTAACGTAACCACCTCAACAACGGCTAGTGATTGGAACAGCTGTAAAAGAATATCTACTTGAACGCTGAACTCCAACCACCTTCTCCTAACGGACGACTCAAATATGTACAAACATAGTATATAACTCCATCTGCGAACTATTAACATACTACAATATCCGGACAAACCCCATTAACTGAAGTCCATTGTAGGTTCCCAGATAATATTTTCTGATACTCATTTGTGCTTTTAAGACGTTGTAAGGAAAGAGAGTAAAGATATACAAAAAGAAACATTAACGTTTATTGTCTCAAGTATTTGCAAGTAATAATGCTTTACGCGTGGTCATATCGACGTCTCGTTTTTCTGGTCATTAAAAATGAATCCCAAAATACACAGATATAATCACCCATCAATAGCCCCGATTCTCATGTAGGTCGTGTTTCAGATGATGTTAATGAGTCAATCTAACCCAAAGAAATGCCAAATATCCAACGCAACCTAACCTCTCTAAAAAACCCAGCTAAATGAAAAGTCAGTTACAACGCAGAAATTAGTACATGCACTGGATTTATACTTAACAGAATAGTATGTCGATTGCTTTCAAGAATCTTAAAACGTAACAGTTAAGCAATTACATAAATAAACATTCACTTCCTCCTAAAAGCAGCTCTATTTTCTTGAAAAGTGCCGATACTCTAACCTAGTATATTATGATGTTGAACAGAATAACCTTCAGGATAATTTGGCAATGGAGTGAGTTAAAATACAACAAACGCTCAGGAAGTGAACTACATGGGATTAAGTAAATACAAAGGAAAAAGAGGGATGAAACATAGATTACAAATGAGCGGTTCAAAAATTTTCCATGAAATTATACTGTCCTTATTTTACTAAATATTATTTCCAGGAGCATCCTCCTCAATTCAAGTTGAACAGAAGGGAACTTTCTCCTACTACCAGTTTTTACTTTTAAAAAACAAAGTGCGGATGTATGCAGAAAGAATTGAGAATTAACTTCCTCATTACCCAATAATATCCCTTTGTTAGCGCTTTGACACGATTCAACCTCCAACCTTGAACTTGCTTAAGCGCTGTGCCTCACGAGCTAGTTTAAACCAATTGATTTCTTTGCGCTAGATTATTGTTCTTTCGGTACGGTTCCAGGTGTTTGGTAGTATCCAATGAATTGTGTTCTAGCCACTCGATTGTCTATTTCTAGTCAGTTTGCAGTTGATTGTGAATTTGTATGTCTCGTGATTTGAATGAAAACGTTTGTTTCAGGGTTTCCGGATACCAGCAGCTATCACATTACCAGATCTGAGATCAGTTAGTTGTAATGTGGAGAATAATAAGGATACAATTCTGAAGCTAATAAGAAGAGGGTTTCAGAACTATGTAATATATAGATAATTTAGTTTATTAATTGGTAGTGAAGATAGTGAAAGAGGACCGAAATGTAAGCAAAGAAGAGAAAACAGAGATAATAGGTGAGATAGATTAAGTTAGCGATCTGAGGAGATGGCAATGACAACAACTAGCAGGTCTCAAGTTATGCATCAAGAACGGCTTGTCCAAGAGGTAGATGATAATCCGTATGCCAGTACATGATTATCAAGTCTCTTCTTAAAGCTGTCTACTGAGGGGGTTTTGGTCACCTCGGCTGGGAGAGCATTCCAAGTTGCGATGACTCACAATGAGAAAAAGGGTGCACGAATCTGAGTATTCGCTCTTTGATGTGAAATTTTTCGAGGATTGATTCGAGGGGAGTGTTGGTGATGCATCGGTACGGTGCTCATGTTGGGATGGTTTGGCGTGATTAATATGCTGTACGCCATAATCAGACCACCTCTGATTCTCCCGTAGCTCAGTGCAAATAATCCAAAGTTCTGGAGACTATAATCGTAAGGCTTATACTTCAACCCCATCACCCATTTCGTTGCTCGTCTCTGCATTCGATCCAAGAGATTTACGTCGCTGTTAAGCAGATGGAGTGAGTTGACGTCGTGAACCTCTAGGCTTGGGTGCGTATGTCTTAAAGGAAAGCTAAGAATAACTTTGGGTTGATAGAATCAAGTTGTCTTCGCGTATAGTGAAGAGTCATATATGCCTTGGCTGCGTCCCCTAAACAGTTCGGGCTTGTGTGGGGGCTTTCTGTGGTTATTAAACCGAAATCAAATTCTGAGGAGACATTAGGGAGCGGACTTCCATTGAGGTTGCAAATATTTTGGTTCATGTGGGGCAGAATAAGCATGACGTGACACTTCGAGTGGTTGAGTTTGTAACCCTTTTTCACTGCCCATTCCTCCACAGAAGTTCAGCCGAGTCCTCTTCGCTTCTAATGGACCTCCAGATCTTCGCATCGTCTGCGTAGATCAGTGCCGTTGAGCTAACTGAGCCTAACAGGCTGTTAATAAATATCGAGATTAGAAGTGGACCTAAGATGGTCTACTGTGAAACTCCCGATGTGGATAATCGCCAGCCCGCGTGCACTCAATTTACCTTGGTACGAAACTTTCTGTTCTCAAGGTAGTTTCTGAGTCAAGATACGAGTGGGTCAGTGAAGCCCATTTACACAACCTTTGTGATTAGACGTGTGTGAGGTACTATTTCGAAGGCTTTTTCAGTCTAGAAATGTTAGATGCATCGGTATTTTTCGGTCAAAGCACGATGTCCAATTGTCCTATGCTATGGGAAGATTAGATGCGCACTACATACTTTTCCGAAATCCGTGTTGAGCTTTATGGAGTATTTTATTCTATCCATGAACTCCTTCATTTGTTCGTTCACCAGACCCTCCATTACCTTTTATATTCTTGGTAGTAATGCGACCGGTCTGTAACAGGCTGCTTCCTTTGTATCTCCTACTTTGAAGGTTGGAGAGAGCAGCTTGTTTCCAAGCAGCTGGGAGTTGGTGAGATTCCAGTGAATGCCTGTACAGGTCACATATCGGTGAAGAGAGGACTTATGCACATTGTTTCAAGACATTAGGGCGAAAATTGTCACAACCTAGGCGTGAGGATTTTAGTTTCCTTGAGACTAAGTCAGGAGTGTTACGGATATTCCCTAAGCCGTCAGCTGACATTGAGTTTGCGTCGCAGGGATGCCTGGTTTAACTAATCGGTGAACTTTGTGTTGAAAAAATTGTAGTGATTTACTTTTACGAAGAAGACACAATCGCTGAAATATAAATATTTATTATCGTACTGTGGTGTGACTGAGGTACATTGCCTACGACAGCCTTCTGGATGATGTCTCTCACCGTTTGCCAGTGATCATCTACTATCAGCCTCCACCACTCCCGTGGACATGGGGCCTGTACGCGTATAATTTGCCCTAGTGTAGCAAAGATGGGGCCCGTTTTCGTCCTGTATGTGTTTCGCCTATGACCATGTTAAACAAGACTGTACCATAGTCACTACTTCCCATTGGTGTATGGACTTGAAAATACTCGACCAGGAGTTGATCATTTGTTAGCGAAAAATCCAGGTTTGGGGACTTTCCTTCCTTAGTGCATCTAGTGACACTGCATACATGCTCAGTAAGTCCAGAGCTTCTAATGGCTGCGCCAAGTCGTCCTTGGAACCAACCAGTGAGAGTTGTATCCTGTTTGCTGAGATTTAGAGATGGGGTATTGAAATCTCCAGCTAAGAATCATTTGATCAAACCGCCAGCAGTTGCAGTATTGCCTCAGTACCTGAGGAAGGTCGGTTAATCCATTCAATCAAGTATTTCGTGTCATTTGTATGGAAACAACACCAACATGATTCCGTCACCTCATTTTGTTAGGTGTGTCATAGCCGCTCGGCTTTTTAGTGGCTGTTTTTTATATATAGCCACTTTGCCTCCTGTCTGGTGTACCCTATTTCATCGGAAGAGTATCATGCCTTGCAAGCTCACTTTGTCGTCTGCAATGTCCGTGGATAGCCATATTTCAGTTAGGATTATAACCTTGAGATCCATCTGAGAGTACATATTCCTGATTTATAACAGCTTAGCGCCTAGTCCTCATACGTTGCTATAGAGGAACTTGGTGGTTTGTCTCATCACCTGGTGCACCTCCGGAAGTACACCACATTTAATACACAATATTATGTGACTAGTTATTAGGAGCAAGCTTTTTTCTCTAGAATCGCCTTTTAATCTGATTATTAGAGTAACGGGATTAACATTTGTTATCCCGCGAAGTAGTATATTATTTCATTCGCTATACTGGTGAGACGCGACGTCGAATAAGCAGTAAATTTGGTGAGCCTTTAATCTTTCTATCCATTTTTGTTACTACTTTTTCTATTGAGTATAATATATCGTTATTTTCATATATATATAATACAACTGCAGCAGTGTCTGGAAATGGTAGATAAACTTAAAGACGACAATTATTATCCAATGTACAATCCATTTTGTAGGCTCTGTCTTGGGAAAACCCCTCCATGTATATATTTGCAATATGTTCTTGCTGTCTCTTTCTGTGCTATATTTCGGTACTCTGCTTAATCCCATTTTGTGATGTTAATATTTGTATTTTGTTATAGTCTCTATTTTTGTACCTTTATTGGAGTTTCTATGTTTTCTACCGAACTGTATTATGCTGTTTAAATTGATACTTAATTATGACGTCAGCCGTATCGAATTCGACACCCTGGGCGGTGAAAATGGAATTTGGACTGGAAGGGTGCAATTTCGGACCTATACGGAAGCACTCTTCCAGAATTGGAAACACATTATGTTAAATTTGTTGAAGAACAGTGTAATATTGTTTGGGTAATGATTTGTAAAGTCTAATTAATAACAGAACCGTTTCTTGCCCAGATAAATTGCTTTTTTGTTAGGATACTGGGAAAGGCACGTATCTAACCTTCTAAAACTGTTCTTCCGAATTCAGAATCCACTTCAGATACCCTAACATCCCCGTAGATTCAGAGGCCTGATTCGCGGCACTGCAAGCTCAGTTTTAGATCCGCTGCATTACGAAGCAGTGGCAAATGTACGCCAACGCCTTGGAATCTTTACCTGGGGATCATATAGCCGCCGCTCGTGAGGTTGTCCTCAATATTGACGTACCAGACGTCTACGATCGTCTCAGGCACGTAATCCTTCAACATTTCTTCCCATCGACGATGAACTATTGAGGACAACTTCAGCACGTCACCCTCTGGGTGATGCTAAACCTCGCCACCACCTCACATGCCTGCCATTATTGTCAGGACCAAGAGCATCTAACTCTAACATCGTCAAAGAATTGTGGCTAGACGCCTTACTTGCCCCTGTTCAGCCTACGATCGACGCTCTGCCCGAGGATATGCCACTTAGCCAGGCTGAACTCGTTGCAGACAAATTTATAGCGTGCACTGGCAATCGAGACAACCATACGGTTGCACGCACGTCACAAACTAACGTGGATCTCGATGCTAATCACGTTCAGACTCAAAGTGATAGTGGTTGATATATCCACAGCCGCCTCAGTTTTCGAGATCGTTCCACTGTTCCTGAACCCTACGTCCCTCGAGCGCGCTCTCGGTCAAAAAAGGCTTCAAGTACTCGATCTGAGCGGGCATCTTCCGAGCGACGCCAAAAGGTGCCTTCGGAAGCGAGTACCGGCTGGTGTTGGTTACACATGACCTTTAGGTCTGGCACCCGTCATTGTCGAGCCCCCTGCCCATGCAAGGTGGGAAAGTTCAAAGCAGACGATTCTTCGTGGCCGTACTCTTCTGCCCCTCAACTCAGATTGGCCGCCTATTTTACGTTCATGATATCCGCACAAACGCTAGGTACCTCGTTGACACAGGTGCCAAAGTTTCTGTCGTATCACCTGGTAGCAGCAAGTCTCGGCTTATGATGCCTCTTCTACGCTCTGCGAATGGCTCTGTCATTCCTTCACATGGTATACGACAGCTGTCGGTCAACCTGAGTATCTGTGGACGTTCATCATTTCTCATATTCTCACAGATATACTTGGCATCAATTTCCTACAGCACTATGAATTGTTGGTTGATTTACGTAGGCTGCAGCCAATCGATACTTCGTCAAACAGCAAATTTATGGGCGTTCGAACCCAAACGGGTGCGTACCGAATTACAGGGGTATTTCATTCACGTGACTGCATTT